TTGCTACGGCCCTGAGAAGTAATAAACCGAAAAAACGTTTACCGATTTACATTTCTTAAATGTTATCCATGTAAATGCAGAGATTTCGTAAATCAGTTTATAACTTATACTGAGCACAATACCATTTTATATTATAATATAGCATTTGTAAATTTTGAACGCTGATTGGCTAAGAGCCGTGTTGATATAACTCAATGTCAACACGGGAAATTTTCCGCCGCTTGTAAACACGGAAATTTTTCTTATCCATCGGGCTTTTGGCATTGCTATATTATAAAAAAAATATAAAACATTTTTTCCGTGTTGATATATAGTTATATCAACACTCGTGGAAGTTGGGAAAACTCGAAATTGTATGAAAACACTCCGCCCTTCGGGCGTCGTGTTATACAATTTCTCGTTTTCCCAATTCCACTCGTGTTGATATAACTGCATGTATATCAACACGGAAAATGGTTTATATTTGTTAAATATTTTCTCTGTCTAAACAACTGAAATTTTGTTATACTATTATTGTCGTAATTTTCCGAATGGCCAACCCAATTTTCCGAATATGTTAATTTTACAAAAGTTGGGGGGGGGTTAGCCACCCCCCCCCCCAATACTCCCCCTCGCTACGGCCCTGCTGTCATGGTTTTTCCAATCACCTGAAATTGTACCACATGAATTTTCTTGATCCACACAATTTGCCAGGCAATAATTGTATGAATTGCTCCTTTGACTTAGAGTAATTATAGAAAATAAAGAAAATAAAGAAAGAGAATAAAGAAAATTATGCAAAGCCACAACTGCTTTGGTGATAAGGACATTTTTCTCTGTTGCAATGATTGGCCTGCGAAAAACTCTAAAACGAGTTGTTGCAATACCAAATGTATTTTCAATTACTCTCCGTGCTCTTGACATTCGATAATTAAAAATTCTCTCATGTAGAGGTAAATACTGGTTGGGGTAAAGTTTCATGAGGTTTGGTTTAAGGCCAAAAGCATCATCTGCTAAGAAAACATATGGGAATGTTTTGCTTGGGCAACTTTCCAAGGCCTCTGGTTGAGGGAAATTAAGCAAATCATTCTGAATTGCTCGGCCACTGTATCTGTTCGTGCATACGCTGCCGTCAGCTTGCCTACCAGTGTCTCCTGTGTCTACTATTGTAAATTCGTACCGAGCATTATAAACAGCAAGCAACACAATACTGTGAATGTTTTTATGGTTTAAGAAAATTGAGCCTGAACGTGCTAGTGCCTGCATCACAGCATGCTTTCCATCCAGAGCTCCGAGTGGCGTGCATGAGGGAAATTCTACATCTGTCTAAAATCGTTTGCAATTTTTTTCCAGTGATTGGTATTGCAAGGGACACGCAGAAATCCTTGCTCGGAAGGAGCGTTCCACAATGTATCACAAGTTTCCTGCACAATTCGCCCCACCGTCGTAGGATTTATACGATAGCTCGCCGCAATTGTAGTGTTTGTTTGTGAACTTTATTTATTTACCCACGGTAGATTTATCAGGATTTTACATAAAAGATGATAAGAGAATAAAATAGTTACAGATTACAGAATACAAAAGTTAATTAAGATACTAATTATATATACATATATATATGTGTATATATATATATATATATATACATATATATATATACATATATATATATATATATATATATATATATATATATATATATATATATATATATATATATATATATATATATAACAGAATAGCTGGCTACGATCCGAGACTTTATTACTTTAGTACATTTTTAGTATTGGTTTCTCTCGGATCGTAGCCAGCTATTCTGTTGTATATGAATGTCGAACTGGCTGATACGAATATTGTATTTTGTCATATATATATATATATATATTATAAATAAGATATATATATATATATATATATATATATATATATATATATATATATATATATATATATATATATATATATATATATATATATATATATATATATTGTACTATTACGCTCCTTCACTTCGGTGTTGTTGAGCACTCTGCAGAGTTGTTAATGGGTGTCTATTAGCGATAATGCAAAGCTCACTTCCCTTGTGGCCGTTTGAGCACTCTGGCCCCATTACGCTCTGCGCATGTCTGGATGCGTTGAGTCACCGTGTTGTACCACATGCC